TGTGTGTGTGTGTGTGCGTGTGTGTGTGTGTGTGTGTGAGAGAGAGAGCGAGAGAGAGAGAGAGAGAGAGAGAGAGAGAGAGAGGGAAGACGAAAGTTCTGGAATATTCGTGTAGTGGAAAACCAATCTAAAGAGAGATTTGAGTGCTTACCTCAGGGGAGATGATAATATACGACGAGTTCGACTGTCGAACTGACGACCCAATCCAGCGGCTATAGTGATGTTGATGCCAGCGCATCATCGAGAAAGGAGCGTGAGGATTGCTCACGCAGAAGCCCAGAGCTGATGAACGCAGGCACAGCGAGGCCGCTGCAAGAGGGTTTTCTCCAGAAACCGCGCTTACTATTTTCGGTGCGAACATTGCGTAGCATTATGGGACGCCTTTTCTACCCCTCTATTGGTTCACACCATTTCGAAATTAATAAAGGCTCAAATAAGGGCAAGGCCACTAGGCCATTTCCTATTGGGCCAGCATTTTGGAGGGAAGAATCGTTTTCTACCTAAAGGACAGAGCCCACTGAAGTGCAGGGCACTTACCGTGGGTCCATTCCCTGGGATAGGTGTTGGGCCAACTCGGTAGAAAGCACGGGACCATTACCTCCACGAACTTGAGTAGCCCCAGAATTTACTATTTGAAGTAAAGACCCCGGGACACTCATAGCACTTTCCATTTGCGCATTTCCTAGCGGCGGCGGCGGAGGCTCCGCAAGCATCCCTGCGCAAGAGAAAGAGGCATGTCAGCAACATCGTGAGATTCTTTTCGTTTCACACGGCTTTCGCCAGCGTTCTTTCAAGGGCTGTTGAGGTATGTTCTTCTGACTTTGGTGAACCTGGTCGTGATCTCGGCAAACCTTCTGCTGGTGTCTCGAGGAACTACGGACGACTATCTGGGTGAGAGTTTCTGTCGGGCCTTCTTCCTCTACCTCTTCGTGAGTTTCTTGGGAAGTCGCTCCATTATCGCTCCGCTCTGAGAGAAGGCTATGATGAGTCAAGTAGAGTACCCAGATGAACCTGGTTATGTATTGGGGACAAATCTGATTGAGCTGGAGGTTGGATTGGAATTCTTTCTTCCACGAAGGTACGGACGAACGAGGGAGGTAGGGGAGCGTGGAAGGAAAGGGTGAATAGCTACTGAGGCTAGAGGGCAAGGAACGAGTACGGGTCTGAATCAAATTTGGAAGGAGTGAACCTGGCAGGGAATCGGGAAGTATTCAGGACGAAACTGCCTAGGAATCGAAGTATTTGTTTGCGTGTTCGTTGTTGAATTCAGGAAATGACTTGAGTATCCTCTTCGAGGGAATGAAACCGCTGAACGAGAGAACATAAGTGAGATTAGGATGGAATTGCCATAGCTCGAAGTGAATCTGACGGAGGTGGTTGAATTGAAGGAGTGATAGGGCTAAGTGGTATCGAAGGCTG